CACATGTAAAAGGCACATTGTAAAAACGCTGATAAAACTGTAAATTCCCTTTATCCTTTGAAAGATTATTTTATGATATCTTTTTTTGTATAAGTGGTCATAGTTGGTGTTTTTAAATATGTTTTTATTGATTTCAGGGAGAGGGAGAGAGAGATAGAAACATCAATGATGAGAGAGAGTCATTGATCGGCTGCCTCCTGCACGCCCCCTGTCCGGGAATCGAACCATGACCTCCTGGTTCATGGGTCGATGCTCAACCACTGAACCACACCCAGCTGGGCAATGGTTATAGTTTTAAAATTTGATAGGGAAAAGACAATTGCTATATCAAATGTTTTAAATATTATTGGAAATTCAAACTTTTTTTGGAAAGGGAGGAATGCAATGACGAGTGCTAGAATGAGTGTATTTATCAAGCCTCCACAATATTTTAAGGTTCTGAACCTTAGAGCTACAAGAGCATATCAGATAGAGGGCCTGGAAAATAGTTCATCATAAGTTGATGATATTAACTAGTAGGTCTACAAATATGAACTGAAACTATACCCAACATCTGATAACCAACAATATTGTTCACATGCCAAGTACAATTAATTATATGTGCCTTAAAGTAGTTGAAGTTATACACAATTGTTTTATGTAATGTTAAGGTGAAAATTCTTCGTTTAAACCAAAATGTTGTCTAAATATTTTACCCATAATTCTCTTTTTAAATACTATATTATTATATTAGTTTCAAAGTTATTTCTGTTTAATAAGTTAATTTTACAAATCTCTATGAAGTTATAAAATATATAATCCAAAATAATTGATACAACGTAAAAGCAAAAACTGGAGCATTTTAGATGCAGCTAAGTGGCATATTTCTGTGATAAGTCTCTTTGGTCTTTTTGTTCACTTCTCTGCACACTTATTTATCTGTATCACTTTGCATTTCCTTTAGAAACATCTCCATCAAAATCATGAGTTTCCAAATCTTTCTTATCTCCTTCCAGGGAGCCATCTGTCAGGGTGTTATGCAGATACCTGAAATGTAGCTGAACTTGACCTTTCTCAAACAAATGCTCTTAGTTATTCTACACTGTTTTTCTAATTTAGACACTCTAAAAATATGCTTTGCTAAGACATTATAGGAGGTTTTACAGTAATAAAGTTATATTCCCACATAATCCTCCTGCAATACTGTTTTCTTATATATCATTTAAGCCTTTCTCTATATCCCTCTTTTTTTCACACTTATAATTAAAGGGAAAAATCACCATAATTTGGAATCTAATTTTCTTTTCTAATATTATTTTAGAACCATTTCCCTACTGTAATACAATCTTCATATTCAAGTGGGAATGTACAACATTCTATATAGTTAATGATATTATTTTTAGTTAGGCATTTTACCCATGAAAGGAAATTTCAGCCATTTCAAATTTTCTCTACTTTAAGTAAAAACAAAACGACTGTCTTTGTATATAACCTGATAGGGTGACCAAAATATACTACGATCCAGAAGTTGCTTCTAGGACAATCTAGCCACCCAATTTTCCTATTTCTATATTTATGCTTCTAATAAGGTGCTCAAAGACCAATACTAGATTCTTTCTCCAGATTTATTTACCGTTTGTTATCAAAGTCTTAGATAGCCCTAACTATATTCTATATATTGTTTTTCACACTTAATAAATATCAACTCATCTAATCCTCATAAATCCTATGAGGACTCTTATCCTCACTTTTCAGAGGAAGAAAGTGAGATGTAGAGAAGAGAGTGATTTGCCCAAGAGCAGGGAGTTAGTAAAGGCAGAGCCAGATTGGGAGCCCAGACCATCCAGCTCCGCACAGCTGCCTCTCACAGTCACGTTCGTGAACATCAGAGAGGATTTTAACTAGTTGCCTTCCCAGTAAAAATTGGATGTTACCTCCATGACATTGTGTTTCCTTGACCAATAATGTTATCCTGGGTAGAGAAACAACAAAAAGGCAGTTCGCCTTTTCTACAATGATGCGTTGTGGCGTCTTTAGCCGTGGGCTGATTCTTGTCCGTGGAACATGCTTAGGAATAGTCTCTCTCAATCCAGCAAAACCTTTCTTGAGGGCTCCTTACATGCAAGGCACATTTAATACAGGTCTGGATACGAAGTGCAGCGCACCAAGCCAAAAGCCTGCCCGTGTGGCAGCTCAGCGCCCTAAATAACCTGCTCTACTTAAGCCAAACCTTGGGAGGTGAAGGTCTAAAAGAGCAGAGGCACTTTGTCCAACATGTTTGCACTACAGCTTTAATGCAGAAGATCTACAAGGGCACAGGGGGTCTGGGCTGGGGGCAAGCGTCAGTCCAGAGGAACGGGCGTTTCTGGGATCGTCCTGATGCTGAACATGAGGCTGACATGTGCTTGAGCGTGTCTCAGAATGAGATCCCCATACGCCCTCTTGCAGCAAACTCATGTTCAGTGTGGGATGCTGATTATTTTTATAGTGAAAAGAAGTTTGCTTAGGCCTGATGTTCTAAGTTTAATGTAACAAATTTTAGGACAAAATCCAGCTTGAAACAGATTGCTGACTATTTAAGTCAAGAAGTTGACTTAACTGAAAAAAAAAAGAAAAGAAAAGTAAAACATTTCTAAATTAAAAAAAAACAACAAAAAACTGGAGAAGGGAGCAGTTAGAGCAGGAGAAAAACCTATCTGTTAGAAAGAGCCAAGACACACAACTGAAGGAGAAAACATCTCCACCCAGCAGGAAGCCCAGCTGACTAAAAAACACCACAGAAAAAGAGATGCTATAAGACTCCTCATTGCGTCATCTTAGTTAATGACTTATAGGAGGTTTAAGGAGTGAAGAATCTCACCCTGGAGGTGTGCATATTCTTGGAGGTAGTTTGCGTTCTGGTGTGTTTACAGCCTTAATGGCAAACAGTGACTCAGAGTACTGTAAGACTTTTGTTTTGTTTTATTTTTCCCCATTTATCGAGTACTAGCAACATCAAGAGCACTTTGAAGACCAGCAGCTATGCCTAGATATCTCTGCACAATCAGATTTGGATTCAGAACAACAAAAGCAATCCATATTTTTAAGCCCAGACAGCTGAACAGAGTGGAAATTCATGTTAGAAGACGGGGCTGCTCTCCCAGTATTGTAAAGCCAGGATTCTTTTGTCTGGGGCTTAGAGTTGCTGTAAGTTTGATGGTGCGGTGAGAAAGCTTTGAGATGCCTCAGAAATTCCTGAAATAGTCAGAGAATGGGGAAAAATCATTGACTGAGAAGCTCTGTGTATAGAGGAAGTTTGAATCAGTAAGACATGGATTTGAACCTGGGGCCCTTCCTTTGCTCACTGTTTATCTTTGGATCGCACATGAAGTTATATTAGACGTCTCTTCCCTCATCCCTAACGTGAAGAGAATAACCCCTTGCACAGGGTTGTTGAGGGGATTCAATAAACACACAGAAGAAAGCACTTAGCACAGTGTGAGGCAAGAGCAGTTTCTTTCCCAGCACAGCATAGCTTTGCCATCCTGCATTGCTGTTGGGTGCACAAGTTTTTTAGATAATATAATACATGTTTGGAAAACAGCCAAGACAGAAGCACCGTATTGTATAGTTTTTGTTAAGCTTTCTAAAATATTTTAATAAAGCATTCAAGGTGGTTTACTATCTTAATTCATTCTTCAATTTGAGCCTAATGTCTTCAATTAATGTTTTAAAAAGTGAGTAAAAAGCTTATATGATTTTTTAAAAGAAGTATTTCTAGGCTGCGAAACATTGGGAACTTCTTTCCTATCTTTATTTGATGAGCATCTGTGTCACTAAATATGCTCTATTTATTGCATTCTCCTGGCTCTCTCTTCTCATTCATGGCCTGTATCTGACCCAGGACTGTCTATTTGTGGCCACATACAGGATGGAGAACCTGAAATAGAAACAAAGGACATAGTAGTTGAAAGCAGCCAGGGTCACACATGGGATCATGACAGTTAAAGGTGATAAGATCAAGGATGTAACAGGGCACTTAGTCATAGGAAGTAGGAGGAAGTAGGTGGCTATTGTAAGAGGAGAAAGGAAGTCATAGATCAAGAAACATTAAGAAACCAAAAGTAAAGGTCTTATAAGAGTTGTCCACATGGAAACCAAGTTTTCCATATTTTTTAATTATCATTATAAGAGTTAGGAAATGAAGAGGGAGAACACTACTAAACTATTCAATGTTATGTATTCTTCTTTGATAAAAATCATCCCTATCTTTTGTATTTCCATTACATTTTGATGAATTTAAGGTTTTCTAAGTCACCATGGGTCTTTAAGTATATATTTGTCCTTTACGTATATATTTTGCAGGAACAACCACATCAGGAGCATAGATCCCATAAGTCATGGATGCTTATTTTAATCATCTTTCATTTTTGAAGAATACTTGACTTTCTCCTCAATGTTTTCAGGATTGTAGTTTTCTGAAGGAAGATTTTCATTGGGCAATGATCACATTACTTTATTATATATCAACGAACTGATTAAAATTCATGGAAACGGGTGACTTTTTATTTAATGTTTAATTATGAAGCATTTAATATCATTTTTATTCCTGATATGTACCCAGCAACAATTTTATTATTACAAACTGACCAGTAGAGTCAGCAAATTGAATTATAATACAATTTCTGGGATATAATGATTAGTCTCAAGAAGGTCAGGCTTTCCAGTTCTGGACTGTCTCAGTTACACAAAGCCGCACAGCCAGATGACTCAGTTTAATATAAAATTGATTGGTAAACTGGAATGACCATCTTTTATTTTAAAATGTTCAAAATGATTGTTCAAGTTTTAAACTATTTACCTCAGTGGCAAAATCAAAATTACAAGCTAATAATAGACTCAGCCATCAGTTTCAATTTGTAAATAATCAATGGAATTTTGCCTTTAGCATATATGTGTATTAATCTCCTCAGTTCAAGAGACTTGCAAATTTATAAGAAACTCTCTTGTGGCACTGAAATTATGTCTTTTCCTTTTTTTAGGTAGATCTTCTAGTCCCTACCAAAGTGACTGGCATCATAACACAAGGCGCTAAAGATTTTGGCCATGTACAGTTTGTGGGCTCTTACAAGCTAGCTTACAGCAGTGATGGGGAACACTGGACTGTATACCAGGATGAAAAGCAGAGAAAAGATAAGGTAAGTCGCCCGTGACCTTTGTAGCCTGCAGAGGTGCAGGACCAAATGGCATCGGAGTTGGACTGAGCCAACTGCTGATACATCTGTAACGAAATAATGGCCACATGCAGTGAAAAATGCATGTTGGACAAAAAGCTTCAACGAACAGTACTGCAGAGGCGTTTATAGTCTTATTAGGTAATGGTGCAACCTCTAGAAAACCAGCTGCTTTACTAATAACAATTTCTATATTATCGGTTACCTAAGATCCAATTAAGTAAGATTCAGGTTATATTTTATAAACCTAATAGAAGGTTGAATAATTTATCATAAAACACATGCAAATAGTTGTTGTTCCAACACATACTATTATTTCTATTATTAAAATACATTACTTGTATTAAAAAAATGTTCTTTGGAGAAAAATATTTCAAAGGTTAACTAAAAGATTTTTTAAATGTTTGTATTTCATTATTTTAACAATTAGAAATTTTAGAAACACACAAATTTTGACTATTATACTAGTCCATCAAAATTAAAGTATAGGATGTTTCTCTGCTAAGTTTCCTTAATTGTGTTTTAATTCATAGATTGGTTTAATTTTTGACCTGCATAATCTGTTTTAATATTACAATAACAGGTATATATTAATGCACCATACAATTCTACAGCATATAATTTCTAATTGTTTTTCTAAAAGTTCTTATCATTTTGAACAACTTTTCTTAGTAGCTACTGGTCTGAATTTCTATGGGACCCTGGAGAATGGATGTGCTCTGGGATAATAGCAATAATTTGTTGGGTCAAATGTTAAAATACGCCTCAGCTGGACTAATGAAATTGAAATTAATTCATTGCTTAGAGTCTTTTTGCAAAGAACTCCAGCTTTCTGAAGACGTCAACAGAAACAAAATCTCTTTGTTTAAGGATCTGGGTGAACATATAACACACTTTTATACACATTAAGTATTTCTGAGTAAATAATGATTTTTCCCCATTCCATATAGACCTCTTAGTCCCTTACAGTTATTGTATTATTAACCAATAGAGAGCTGGCAATGTCTTTTCCTTCAAGTATTCAGGCAGGAAATTTTTCTAGAAATGCTAAGCCTGCAATGGCTATTTGAGTGAGTCAACAGAGTCTGAATTCAATTCACACAAAATTTGTTTTAGAAGAGACATGTTGTTAGGTTTAAATTATGAAATCCACATTTATTTACCTTTTAATGTCTTAGAGCAAACCCATTTAGCACTTGGTAGATTCATTAAACATCTCAGAGCACACACCCATTTTACCACCTCAGAAACGGTTGTACCTCAATGTCACAACCTAATTGGCAGCACTTATTATTTCTAGAACATATAATGATGCCATGTTTTATAATCAGTGGCATCTTAGATTGAATTAATATTGAGTATTTTGTAAAACTGTGTTCAAATTTATTTTTGAGCTGTAGAAAAAATCTGCCATCAATTATTGCAATAATTATCTCAGTTCCTGTCTCTCACATTTTGTAGCAGTCATTCAGATGCATAGAGAATAAATATGTTCTATAAGATGAAAATTTTTAAACTTCATAAATTATACAACTCTTGAAATTAATTTTAAAATAGGTAAGTATTGTCATCCATTACCAATGTCCAATATTTACTAAAAAGCACATCTATAATAGTGAAATCATTATATAGCTTGATTTGGAAAGAAGTGTAAAGAAAAATATGGGTGAAACCATTGTAGTGGTGAAATACTTCATCTCCATTTATATTCAGCATATGACTTAATAATTATATGTGAATAATGTAAAATATTTCCCTTAATAGACTAGAAAATTTCATATTACTACATTTTATTTCATTATCTTAGTCTGAAATGTATGTAAAACTTTTGTGCCAAGTAGGTCAAGTTACTCCATAGTGTTGTTCAGGTTTCTGTATCTTTACTGATTTTCTATCTACTTGAATTGTCAGTTGCAGAGAGAGCAATGTGGAAATCTTCAACTACTATTGAGAATTTCTCCATTTCTCCTTGCAGTTATATCAGTGTTTACTTGATGTATTTTGAAGCTCTGCTAAAAGATGCATGAGCAGTTAGGATTGCAATGTCCTCTTGCTCAAATAACTCCATTATCCTTCGAAAATGACCTTCTTTATCCCTGGTAATATGTTTTACTCTGAAATCTATTTTTCGGGTATTGATAAAGGTACTTCAGCTTTCTTTTGATTAGTGATACATTGGTAGATGTTTTTCACATCCTTTTACTTTTAACCTAATTGTACTTTATATTTGAAATGCATTTCTTCTGTGCAGCATATAGCTGGGTCTCTTTTTTTTAAATCCAACTGTGTCTGCCTTTTACTGGAGTATTTATATTTGAAATGAGTATTGATATAACTGGGTTTACATCTATCATCTTGCTATTTATTTTCTACTTGTCACATGTTTTCTTTATTTCTTTCTATTTTTCTGTCTTCTTTTGATTAGTTGAATTTTTAATTGTTCTATTTTGTTTTCTTTGTTGACTTATTTTCTATAACTTTTTTTTTTAATTTTAGCGATTGCATACATTTTAAACTTATCAAGTCTACCTTCAAATTGATAGAGCCCCAGAAACTTACTTCCATAAGCATAAGCACAATAGATTATAGCTATAAATTCATGTACTTAAGAGCTACACTTATTATAACACATGACTTTGATTTTGACATTTCCAAAATAAGTCTTACCGTAAAAAATGAAATAAGCTCCCACCAGGCAAGTTAGAAAATTATGAGTGTAAATTGGCGCAGTCAGTGAAAAGGGTGTGAGCCAGAATTCTCATGAGACAGTGTCAGTCTCATCTACCCAAAGTAAACATTTCTGAAAAATTAAACCATTTCAATGTTATAAACAGGACAATAGGCTAAATGCAGCTAATATAACTGGTAGTTTTAAAATTAAATTTAGCCAGTTTGTTTATAATATAACTAATTCGATATAATGAAGAAAAGCCTTAGATAAGTTGGCTATGTATTACTGACAAAACTAACACCAATAAACTGTGCATAAGAATACAGCTCTTACTATTATAATAAAGAAATACTTTATGTATAAGAAGAAACTGCAGGGCATAAAAATCTCCATTCCCTCAGAGAAGGGAATTTTATAAAATAAATGAGAAAATGTATTTCATATGTTTTTTGGACATTTGTGAATATAGGCATTTATGTGCATATTTATATACATTTATTTATATATATCTTTTATATATCCAAATTATTATTGTGCTTTGTCGTTATTATTACTATAATTGCTAGGTATTTTACCTGTGATTTCACATATCCTTTCTAGATGTGCTCTTTAGAGACGCCCTCAATAACTTAGCAAGTAATTTTCTAAACTTGAACAAGCCATCTCCTGTTGACTCAGTATTATTTGTGTCTTGTGTTCTACGATTACTTTCCATAAGGGAAAAATATCCTTATTCTTTATAAGTGCGAATTCAACCTCAAGCTTTTGTCCTGGTAAATATAAGTGAACTGAATGTTTCAGGGCAAAACATGTGCTTGTGAAATGTTTTACTGATGCACATTTCAAAAGGAAATATTTGTACAGAGTTTTCTAATTCCTTCATTCGTACCTTTCTGCTTATTGGTGTTTTTGACCGCTTGCTCTAATAGATTTTGGGAGTGTGCATATGGAATCTGATATAGACCCAGAAACAAGATTATTACTTCAGCAAAACAATATTAACATAATAGAACTATTTTAGATTTACTATAAGTGGCGTAAATTAAGTTCTAAAAATGTATGAATGCCTTTTCTGTTTTTCATTAGTCATAGCTGACTAAACCTCAGGAAAGCAATGCCAAGGAAAAATTATATATGTACATAGGAGCATTTAAATGTATATATGAATGTATATGTATATACATTTACAGGGTGTCCCCAAAAATGTATACACACACTTTGAATAATTATAAAGGCAATGTTTATTAAAATATATTTCATTTTCAAAATTTAACTATCAGCTGTTAAAGTGCACATACAGTTTTTTGAGACACACTGTGTGTGTGTGTGTGTGTGTGTGTGTGTGTGTGTGTGTGTGTGTGTGTGTACTTGCACAACAATAGCCCACTGGAAGAAAAAACAGATACTGTGTTCTCCTCACTGAGATGTCGGCTTTCATTACCCTCTCCGAGCTTTCATGGGAATTGCAGTTTACATTAGTCTTCTATTTTTTGACAAAATCCCACATTAAATCTTTCATAATTGAGCACGTGATGGTAGTTTCATCACAGTCCCTTCATTCTTATTTTTCTCTTTCTAGTCCTCAATATGTATTTTCTAACATTTAACCAACTGTTATATTGCTCTGCAGCATGGATTCAGATACTTTTTTATTTGAAAGTCAAATATTCCTTTGCTCTCATGAAAGTGACATTTGTTTTATAGTTTTGGAGCTCTTTTTACTGCAGTTAGCAGGAAAATTGCAAAATTTGACAGACACTTTCAGTATTTAATTTCTAAGGTTATAAGCCAAAGTAAAAACAATAATAAATTTCAGGAAGAGTACTTATATGGAAAAAATTACAAATTAAGATGGATTTTTCATCCAGTTTTTTAATCATAATATCGTGTTTAAATAAACCTGAATTCACACCTTGGGAGCTTTCTTCTTTGGGGAAAAAAGAAGCTCCTAATATTCTATTTTGTTCCTCTCCCTGAAAAATTATCCAGGATTTCTAAAAGCATAAGTCACAGACATTGTAGCTTTACTCTGGATTCTCCATAAGAGAAAATCCAGAACCCCGTTTCCAATAAGATTGTATTGGACCTTAAAGATTAATGATACATACTCATTAAGAACATTCTACAACACCTTGGTGAACTGTCTAATTCACTGGTTGCCAAAATCATCTGATCACAGCACTCATGTGAGAGCTTGTTAAGAAATACAGATTTCTGGGCCCTGCCTCTGGTTCTGGGGATGAGCCAGGAATCTTAATGTTTCCAGAGGCCCTAGCTTATTTGACTAATAAGC